TTAGCTATTTTGATTTGGACCAGTTAAAGAGGTAATTCACAACTGGCAAGATGTGGTTTTTAATAAAAGTTGGCTGTCTATGCAGTATTTTTATTTATTTATTTATTTTTTAATCTGTGCTACATAACTAGTGAAAACTATGGAAGCTTGTTTTCGCCATGGAATGAAACAAATTAAAAGATAATTGAAACTTTTTATCTCACAATTCTGACTTATTTTCTCAGAATTGCAAGATATAAACTCACAATTGCACAAAATAAAGTCAGAATTGGAAGTTGTTTTTTTTTGTGGGACTTTTTCTTGCAATTATGAGTTTATATCAAGCAATTAAATGCAAAATTGTGAGATATAACCTCGCAATTGTGAGAAAAAAGTGAATTGTGAGATAAAAATGAGCAATTTTCTTTTTTATCTTTTATTCAGTGGTGGAAACAGGCTACCATAGAAAACGGAGAAAAAGGGCTATGGCAAAAAAGTAGGAAAACTTCAACACCCATAATGCTCTGGGCTTGATTACATTATCTGTGAGCGGGAATACAAAAATTCAGAAATGCAATCTGATCTGTAATTTTCACAATTTGCCCTGGAGCTGTCAAAAGTCCACCAGATGACGTGTTTTATGTCATTAGTAAATAAATGGGGATGTCTTGGTGAAAGTAATACGGAAAAATAATTATTTATTTATACTATCATCATTAACCATACAAGGCTTGTTGAAAATCAGCAAACTTAAGGTGGTCACACACCAGACGAGAAGCACAGCACAGCGTCGCGCCACGTCTTTAAAACACAGCTGCGTCATGTTGTACTTGTTGTATGAATTGTCCTAGACGTGGCACGGTGCGGCACTTCTCGTCCGGTGTGCGACCTCCTTTACTCTTTAAAGCCACCTAGCAACCACCCAAAACACCCTAGCAACTGCTCAGCTACATTCTAAACAAACACTCAGACTACCATTGCAACCATAAGGCAGTAACTTGTACGCAATTTGTTTTGTTTGGTTTTTTTTTCCAGAAAAAATTTAAATCTAGTTTACAATTTAATAAATTACTTATAAATACATAATATAATTACATGTATTATTTATCTAAAATTATTTATCTAAAAATATAAATAGATTTTATATAAGATATATAAATATAAAATGTATTATTTATTTATTATACATTTATTTTCTTATTACAGGGTCGCCTGCCACGTTACCTCATCCACCAGTCACTGGCTGCCACCATGTTCGAGTTTATGTCTCATCTCAGGCAGCGTATAAATGTCCACGTCTCCTACCGGTGATCTCTGGCTTTGACTCTTTATCCAGCCACAGTTTACATTGTGGTAACTTCAAATTTCACTGTGCTCAAACTACAACTATTCAAACTACAACTGCCGAGAGGAGATACAGCATTGCGTTTGACTGGCGGGAGGTTGTCATGGCTGTCTGCGTCTAGGACAGTTTGGCTGAACGTTTGGCTGCACTTTACACTGAAGTTTAATTTTATATAAATTTACTACTGCAGCACACAGAGGTCATAACTCATACTGTCAAACCCAACAAGAGCTGGAAACATGCACAGGAAGTTATCAGAGAGCAGCTTGTGCTGTATAAGAGGTCAGGGGAAAAACTGATTGTGCCTAAAACCACTGTTGTCCCCCAGTGAACACGACTGAAGGCTAGGACTGTTTCTGAGCCAAATATGCTGTGGTTTCTCATTCTGCTTTTACTTTTGCCTTAATCGAACATGCACACACATTCATACTAATTGTAATTATTGTTTTAGATCTTATTATGGTTTGCAATTGGCTCTTGTGGCCAAACATTGCTGTATTATTAAAAATAAATGCATTCATCTGTAGCATAGATCAGCATCCTGCCATGTATATGATAATAATGTAAATGGTTAAGAGTTTGATTATACAGTTATGTCTTAAATCAACATATCCGGTTAACTACGACCCAGAGTATTTGTATAAAATATGCTGCAACAAAAAAGCAAACTTTTGTGCTTGATTTTATGCTATAAAAACTGGTTCAAAGCAGCTCAAAATCCATGTGAAATTAATATAACGGGCCTTTTGTTGAAATGCATGCATTTATTTCTCTCCTTTCTTTATTGCATGTCAGTTTGTTTTCTCAAAGAGCATTACTGTCCACATTTTTTTGATTATACACTGTTTACCACATTTATACAGGGCATAGCAATTTATAAACAGGAAACTAAGGCATAGTCACTCACTGGTTGTTTGGTTAGTATTGTCTAGTATAGTATAGAAATGCAAATGTGTCCTACATTAACAGTTGCCTTGAAGCAAGCAAAATGCATACTGGTTTTAACCGAGAGAAAAAACACTCTTACAGGGCATTGTGCTTCCTTTTAAGGGACAGCACATGTTGAAGTTGGTTTATCAGTGGTATCGTGAAAAATGTTGATCTTTTTAAAGTCCTTGTTCTGTACTTTTGTTTTGCAGCCTTCTTGACTTGTACTTGTGTGCCTTTGTTACAGTTTCCCTCACTGAAATCACAAGTTGCTTTCATTATTTAGATTTATTTTGTAACTGAACACTTTTTTTGGACTGTATCCACATTTGTTTGTGCAGAGCCTTTTGCAGTTCACTTGAATTCACTTGTGATTCAGCTTCTGTGTGAATGATATTTTTATACTGATTTACAGTAATATGAAGCTATACAGAATTGTCATGTAACTCAAAAATCATGATTTAAAAAAAAATGAAGAATCAACATTTAATAAAACTAACAAACAGTTTTACAGGATGTCTGATACCTGTTTCAGATTTATTGTTAACTAAACCGTGACCCCAAAAGTTAATGAACACTTTAACAATGATTTTAGTCTGAAAGTCTGAATGTCAAAAGATATACATGAATATTCTGTTTTTATGCTATATATATATATATATATATATATATCTTCCTTAAAACTTATATACTGCTATAATGTAAGCGTTGTTAACCCACTTTAAATAATGACAACTAGAAAGAATTTTGTATTTACTGTGAACCATATATCTTCAGTATAATCCTATAAAACCTAAATAAATTGTGAAATGTTTTGTTTGAACATTATCCTTAGTTGAAATAGATGCCACTTGGTTTGATATTTTATCTAATGCAATGACATTCAGACATTTGAAGTGTTGCTTTGTGACCAAATACTTGAACAAATCATCCTGACATAATCACAAGGATTATTATTTGTATTATGTTTTTTAAGTTAAAAGCCTCTGGCAGAGTAAGTTGTGCCCAGCCTACCATGTGATGGGACACAGCCTATGAGCCTCTCACATGAGTATCACACATCAAACACTTCTCTATTTCTCTCTTTATTGCATATCAATTCAGAGGCTTGGAATTGTGTTGGTTTATGTATTAATGTTAAAGCTCAATTACATTCTCAGTGATCTTTGTACACATTTGCAGGTTTGTCTCGCTTTTAGACAAACTTTCAGCCACACAACCAAAATGATGCAATAGGAGATGTGAAGTGTCTGTTACTCATTAAGGACTGTAAAATTAAATTACACATCTTATATATGCAAAGCAAAGTGCATACGTGTCTGTTTAGTTCTGGGTTTTTGTGACTACAAACTTTAGACAGAAATTCCTACCCTTTTTATGATGCATGACAGCTGGCAAAAAAAATAAAAAATCTGTGCATTTTGTATTTGTCTTGTATCTTGTAGACATCATGCTGACAACACAAGTTTTCTACACTTATCTCTGGATTTCACCTGCTGAAAATATTTTTTAAAAAGTCAAATATAAATATTAGATGGAAAAACCTGAACAAAATTTAGAAATGAAATACGTTTAAGCACTGAAATGATTAAATGAACATAATTTTAAAAAGTAAAAAACAAAATATTAACATAACTATAATACAAAATGCATAAAATTACTAAATGAAATTGACTGAAAATGTAAAAAATAAAAACAAAATCAAAAACTATAATAGTTTATAAATAATACTAAAATAACACTGACCTGCTGTTACATGCTTCTCAAATCTGGTATTTAGGTTTGATTATTTTGCCAGTGAGCACATGAGGTTTTCCGTGAAATGTGAGCAGGAGGTTTAGGATTATTGGTTTTCATAATAATATGAAGCAACAGTGTTATGCAATCACTCCTTTTACTTCAAACCTGCTTCATTTTCACTATAACCCTTTAAAATCGTATGAGGTTTTGGATATGCAAAGCGAAACCAAACTGTTGAAAACGTTGACGGAGGTAAAAGCTCGTTTGTGTTTTGGGGCTGTAGGACGAGTGGCTTTATTTAGAGGTCTGTGATGGCCTCAGGTTACGCAGCTCAGACTCATGACTAAACTGTGATGTTATTCATTCTAGAGAGAGACTGAAATGTTTTAGTCGCTCTCTGGGCCCCAAAAGATGCTTCACTTCTGAATAAGAGAAAATTGTGTTTAGACCTGAACTGATGGATTCAACATTTTGCCAGGAGTTTCTGGGGTAAGTTATATCAAAGCAATACATTCCACTATTATTTTCATCTGAAAATACTCAACGGATGCTGAGGCTCACCCTGAAGAACCGCATATGACTCTGACAGCTTGAACAAAGGCAAGAAGATTCATTCTTTTATATTCATGTTTTTCAGAAATCTCACCTGTAGTGTCTTGGAGAAGCAGATGTGGTGTTTAACACTCACCTCTTGAACTTGGACGCTTTCTTTCCCATCTTCTAGTTTAGTATTTTGAGGATGGGTGCCGGCTTCAAGAAGTTCTGTATGCGATTTTGCTGTTGCTGCTGCTGTGAGGATGATGAGGAGGAAGAAAAGAGACCTTTACTTAGGTATTACTTTTAGGGGATGTGGGGTCAGTTTGCTTTTGAATCATGCCTGACCATTGATGCTTTGAGTTTATGCTTTCTCTCAAAAAATATATCATTTCCTATTATTTATTTTTTTTTACAGGAAAATGTCTTTAGTTCAGTTTTTCAGAAATCTCACCTGTAGTGTCTTGGAGAAGCAGATGTGGTGTTTAACACTCACCTCTTGAACTTGGACGCTTTCTTTCCCATCTTCTAGTTTAGTATTTTGAGGATGGGTGCCGGCTTCAAGAAGTTCTGTATGCGATTTTGCTGTTGCTGCTGCTGTGAGGATGATGAGGAGGAAGAAAAGAGACCTTTACTTAGGTATTACTTTTAGGGGATGTGGGGTCAGTTTGCTTTTGAATCATGCCTGACCATTGATGCTTTGAGTTTATGCTTTCTCTCAAAAAATATATCATTTCCTATTATTTATTTTTTTTTACAGGAAAATGTCTTTAGTTCAAACTGAGTAAACTTACATACTAAAAGTTTTAACAGCTACTAACTCTTCAACTCTAGTACAACATGTGGAAATAGTATTTCATAAATATATTTAATTATTAACTCACGGTCCAACGTGCTTCTACTTTTCCTTTGGTCCTACCGACCTTTTCGCGGCCTGACAGAAAAATAAAAAAACAAATAATTTTTAAAAAAAGAAACGGTTTCACTGCTAATTACAAAGTAATATCAAACACACTAATACAGATATTCACACAGTTTTCGTCCTCATATGGTGACGGTGTTTGAACGTTTTGTTTGTGTTTGTGTCAGTCACGACACTTTAGAATATTTCGATCGCGAGGCGAAAAAAAGGCGGGACCAAGAGACCAACCTGTGGAACGAACCCGGAGACCCCTCCCACTCCGAGAGAGACGACGACCGCACGCTCTACAACCTGCTGCAGTGCAGAGCCAACACCCAGCGGGGCTTCACCAAAAGAAAATAGAATAAAATAAAATAAATAAATCTCATTATTTGTCACATTTTGCGATTTTTAGCTCATATTTCTGTCTCTGAAACTTCAAGGTGAGGTGTAATTTTTTCAATATTAAAATCCTTTCTTCTATCAGAGCTAAATACACCTAAAGATATTTGTAGGTGTCCTGATGCTTTAGTTGAGTTCTGTCATGTCTTCTGTCCCGCAGGGCTACCGGCGTTTGAGCATCGACATCGAGGCCATGAGAGACATGAGAAGAGAGGTGCGAGATAAATGGAAGATGATTTTAGAGAATCTGGGTAAGAGATTATATGTGAGAGATGATGTTCCAGTGATTCAGGGACAGTCTGTCGTTGAGATGCTCGGTTTCTTTTCTTAGGGTTCATGGCTGAAGCCGAGTCTCTGCTGACCGTGTCTACCAGCGCATCAAATGACCGCATGAGAAACGCAGCGGTCGCCCGCAGCCTTCTGCAGACCCTCCACACCGAGACATCCTTATTCAACAGCAAAGAGCCTCCACCCGAGAGATACCTCTTCATCATGGTGAGCATCTTACTCAAACTACAAGTACGAACAATCAAAAACAATCTAGAGCACTAAATATAAATATTGCTGCATTTAATGTGCACTTCTCCATCAATTAAGTTCATTTCTATTTTAAGTGAGGTGCTTCAGGCATAAATGAAGATTAATGTAATTTTGATATTCTAAAATATTGAAAATAATCTAATATAAAAATAAATTTAAATATTACTATTATTCTTATTAAATACATTTTATTTATATCAAATGTAAATATAATACAAATACACTAGCTCTACAACCTGCTGCAGTGCAGAGCCAACACCCAGCGGGGCTCTCACGTACGACGAGCACAACACATCTGCATTCAAACACAGATGCGATGCTGTAATAACTAATTACACAGTATGATGAGCACGCTAAATAATCTCACCATGAATCTCACACGTAGAGATGACGTCTGGATTACCAAAGCCCATAATGAGCCTGATATGCGAAACTATTTATTTATTTATTTTTATTTAGTCACTTAACTTCTTCACTACACACACACAAAATGATTTACAAATACAGCCAGGGGGTACATAATAATAATAATTATTATTATTATTTTTGACAATTCAAGGACAGTTTACAATGCAAAAATATAGTGCATGCAGTAGGCTAGGCTAATTAATAATATTAATAATAATAATAATAATAATAATTATTATTATTATTATTATTATAATTATTATTTATTTTAATGGATTATACTAGATTTAGACAGATTTGTGAACAATATTTGAGAGAAATAGGCCTTTTGTGTACATAGAAAAAGTCTTAGATCTTTGAGTTCAGCTCATGAAAAATGGGGGCAAAAACAAAAGTGTTGCGTTTATAATTTTGTTCAGTTTACATACAAATATCATATTTAAAATAAATGTTTAATATTTAAAAAAAATAGTAAATATAAAAAAATTAAAAAAAAACTACCAATGCACAACTTTCAGAAAACACAACAAAAAAAGTCATGAACTAATAATATTTTTTTTACGTTTTCCAAGTAAATAAGCATATAGGTTAGCATATTTCAGTGGCCACTGGCGGTTAAAATTATATCGCTAGTAATTGTCTGAGGGTATTTTGACAAATTATTAATCTTTTATGGAGCATTTTAAGTTAAAAAGGGACTTGAGCCATACTAATTTACATGCACTCACCACAGAATCAATTTTATCAGTGTAGTCAATACTCTCAAAATATTATAACTTTATCTCGTAATTGCTACGACTTAATTCTCGTATTTTGACTTTTTTTTCTCAAAATATTTCGACTTTAATCTTGTAATCTTAGATTTTTATTTTTTAATGAGGCACTAAAACTTCGTCGTTACATAGCCTACACACTGTGTGTAGGCTATATACACATATACATATATATATATACATATACATATACTGTATATACATATATTGGGCAGCTTAAGGCACACCTGTGCAATAATCATGTTGTCTAATCAGCATCTTGATATGCCTCACCTGTGAGGTGGATGGATTATCTCGGCAAAGGAGAAGTGCTCACTAACACAGATTTAGACAGATTTGTGAACAATATTTGAGAGAAATAGGCCTTTTGTGTACATAGAAAAAGTCTTAGATCTTTGAGTTCAGCTCATGAAAAATGGGGGCAAAAACAAAAGTGTTGCGTTTATAATTTTGTTCAGTTTACATACAAATATCATATTTAAAATAAATGTTTAATATTTAAAAAAAATAGTAAATATAAAAAAATTAAAAAAAAACTACCAATGCACAACTTTCAGAAAACACAACAAAAAAAGTCATGAACTAATAATATTTTTTTTACGTTTTCCAAGTAAATAAGCATATAGGTTAGCATATTTCAGTGGCCACTGGCGGTTAAAATTATATCGCTAGTAATTGTCTGAGGGTATTTTGACAAATTATTAATCTTTTATGGAGCATTTTAAGTTAAAAAGGGACTTGAGCCATACTAATTTACATGCACAAAATAAATTGTGTATGTTAAATAAAAGTAAGGGTTACATAAAAGTTTACAAAAAGTTCAAACAACTAAATTTGAAATAAAAATTAAAAATATAGACATTTAAAAAAAGAAAATATTCTATTAAAAATGTTAAAATGAAATATTCAAAATAAAATGAGAAATTATATATATATATATATGTGTGTGTGTGTGTGAACGTCTCAAATTAAAATGCTTGAGATAGACACACTTCCCCTTGCTCACTTTGACCTCTATAATATTTACATTGCGCTCAGGACCGGCTGATTTATCTGGATGCTGCTGAGGATTTTGTGGCCAAGGCTCGACGCTTCTACCCTCCTAAAGATGATGATGATGATGATGAAGAAGAAGAGGAAAACACCAATCGAATAAATCTTCCTCTGCTGCTGTCCCACATGAATCAGAACATCTCTGGAGGAGAGGACGAGGATGATGAGGGCGAGACCACCGGTCCAGAAGAGTGACAATGAGATTAGATTGTGTCGATGTTTTCAGAAATCAGCTTGAGGGGTTTTGGAGGTAAATGGATTTTGACTGATGTCGGTTCGGGTCAAGGTGGATGGGGATGCTGAATATTAAATGGCGCAAGTTTAAACCATTTATTAGACAAATGCTTTTTTGAGAAAGAGGAGACGGTTTTCAGAATCATCAAAATAGCTGCAGGTCTCACGTTTTATGTAACTATGAATTATAAGATCATTAGAAGATTCAGGATTACTGAGGCACTTTGATATTGTAAGTCTAAGATGGTGAAGTGTATTTGAATAAATAGAAATTAATCTCTTGAAATTTGTGTCAGTGTTTTCTTTACATTGAATGCAGATATACCGAGTCCGTCGAACTATTGAAACTAGTCATTTAATAAATACTTCAACTCTCATATGCCATTTATGGTTTCTTCATCGGAACAAAAATGTAGCATTACATCACTTGCTCACCAATGCTACATTTCTCCGAATCTGTTCTGATGAAGAAACAAACTCATCTATAATAATAATAATAATAATACACAATAACTACAACATGAATAAAAGGAACAGAAACCTTTTTATTGAGGTCCCAAAAACCATCATCAACAATATTATGTAAACAATATTAATTAGGAAAATAATAAAAAACAACAACAGCTCAAATATCCACAGCCCCCAGGGTTGAGCGGACAGTACAAGGGTGTGGATTCAAGCTAAGATGAGATTTCATGTGCAATCAGGAATGTAGACATGGTGTGCGGCGCTCTGAGGACTGGCGTCTGCTGCAGACTACTGCTGGACCTGGTAACGTGAACACAGACAAACCAGTTAACAACTGAGCAAAGAGATACGACACAAATGAAAGGAAAAACTGCAGCATGATGAAAATTCAGGCTTTTATATACAGACTTAAATACAAAAATGGCCTAAAACATTTTTGCCATTTTATTTCTGTACTTGTTGCTGTCTACAATTTATGTATGGAAGATGTGGCATTGAGCTAAATTTACACATCGCACAACCTTTCAACCCATTTCAAATTGTTTAATGGGGAAAAAGGACTATATCCTGTTGTTTTTCTCTGAATAAAATGCATGGCCTCATGTTTTACTTTGAAAACACAACCGTATTCACAACATGTCAAGCTTGTTTTTTTTCAGTCAATTTAGAAAGTGAATGATTTCTTTGAAAACAAAGTCTGTAAAATAGTCACCAGTAATGTGTAATAGTGAATGGATAACTCAGGGGACACCAAACTTGGTCCTGGAGGGCCGGTGTCCTGCAGAGTTTAGCTCCAACCCTGATTAAACACACCTGAACCAGCTAATTAAGGTCTTACTAGATATACTAACTAGAAACTTCCAGGAAGGTGTGTTGAGGCAAGTTGGAGCTAATGGTGCGTTCAAGTCATGTCGGATAGATCGTATTTACGAGTTGAACGCACATGAACGCCACCACAAAGTCGTTATTACGAGTGGGAAACTCAACATTTTCTTTAAGCCCCGAGTTTCCGAGTTGGGGGCGTGTCAATGAGAAAACGTGTCAGATGCAATGGACAGCATCCAAAGACTAGATATGCAGCATCTGTATTGATGGTAAATTTGTTGAAATTAATAAAATGATAAATTTTTTGTAATGTAAAATAAAACTATATGTTACATATACAAAATATTATATTATTGTATAATTACCAAAGAACATATAATGATTCAGTTTACATCACCTTCATAAATCGAATAAAAACAGAAAAAAAGCAAAAACACAATGACGCACATTCTTTATTCATCATTTTGTAGATGTAAAGTTAAAAAAATCGTTGAATTTTATGGAAAAAAAGTTCAATCACCATATTGTTCCGACCAAAGTGACTTGAACGCACCTAACGTCGTTATTACGACTTGTCAACTCGTAAGTACGAACGTCCCAGGAGGATTACTGGATGCAGCATATACTCTGCAGGACACCGGCCCTCCAGGACCAAATTTGGTGACCCCTGGGCTAACTGGTTAAGGTAATAATCCCCTTGTATGGTTATCAACATTTTTGTTATACTTTTAGTTATTTTTCTTTGTAACTAACTGTTTTGGTAAAAAAAATAATAATTCCACTTAATCTTTCCTCATTCAATTGCATTCAAAAACCCAACATATTTTCCGTTATCTTTTAAAATACTTATATGAATATTATACACACACACACACACACCTTAAAGACGACATCTAAATCCAATGCATAATACAGCTTGCAAATGAGTACAATTTTCAAGATACTACTGTAGACTATAAAAACACATCAGATATTGTCCAAGCATAAACCATACCAGCACAGGTAGGTGATTGTGTACCTGCTGAGATTGTGTGTCTGGTCCTCTGCTGGCCAAACGGCTGAGAATGTTCCTTTCAGACATCTGCAGCCTCACGGCGACCGGCGGTATCCTGGCGATGGTCGCCGGGAGACGAGTGACATCTGCTTTCATGTCACTGAGCAACTCTTCTAGCTGTTTCAGTACTATCAGAAACACGTACAAAAAAGTAGTGAGTGTCAACTTCTATGATGAGCCAAATTCAGGAGTTTAAAGTTAGAATAACATGATGTCAGATGATGTACCTTTATGTAGAACGGCATTGGCAGGTTTGTTTCCGGACATGGATTCCTTGCTCAGGTGCTGGTGGGACTCGGCCAGACACTCCACTTCACTGAAGCGTGTGTTGAGAGCCATGGAGGGGTGAGAGTGGTCTTCAGTCATGTTCAGATACGCTGCCCTGCGCAGCTGTTCTTCAATCACCAGAGCCTGCTCAAGTAGCTACAGGAGACACACAAAAACTGTGTTACTAACTCTAATGTCATGACATGTATACAAGAAAAATGTGATTCTTTTCATAATACCTTGAATCTCCTGGCCAGAAACTTGTTCTTGATCTCCAGGAAGTTTCCTCTGTTCATCTCTCCCTTAAAGGGTTCGTTAAGAATGGCGAACCTGACGTCATTCTGAATATCTTGCCAACGAGCATAACCGTGTCTGAGACAGTGAGTTGAGGTACATTTCATGCTTTGCTTGTCATTGAACACATCTGAAAGACACTCACATGTGTACATGTATGCAGAAGGTTGCCTTTTTTTTTTTTAAGGATACTGTATGATGCCAGAGAGTAGCCAGTAGTCATGGCGACGATGCCAGATCTCATTGGTCTTCTTGGTGACTGTAGCGGCTCGCTCCTCATTCTGCCACAGGGAGTGTAATTCTGAAAAAAAAAAAAAAAGAATTTAGTAGAAATGCTTAAACTTATGGCATTTTGGCAAATAATTGTTATAATTCTGCCCTTTTACACTTATTTACTACTAACAACAAAATCATTATTCAAGAAGCAAAACAACCAAACACCATAAAATGTATAAAAGAAAATTCTGATAAGTAGTAAAGGGGCCATATGATGCGATTTCAATTTTTCCTTTCTCTTTGGAGTGTTACAAGCTCTTGGTGCATAAAGAAGATCTGTAAAGTTGCAAAGACTAAAGTCTCAAATCCAAAGAGATATTCTTTATAAAAGTTAAGTCAACCACGCCTACCTAAAACGGCTC